ACTGTGTTGCATACTCCCAACTGTAAGCCTACTTCTGCCCACCCTGGAAAAGCCACACTTAGACTACAGATAAGTGGGTAGAGGAAGACATACTATGTTAGCACCGATCATGAGAAAGTGGAAACAGCTATATTAATTTCAGATATAGTGGCTTAGAACAAAGAGTTATCAGGAATAAAGAGGGGCCAGTTCTACACCATGATAACGGGGCCAACTCTCTGTCGACGTAAGAAACGTCCAAACTGTAGAGAATCTTTATAAAGAGTTTATCTGAGCTAAGCTGACGACAATTGCTGGGAAGCAAAATCTCCCTGGACTGAGAAAACGCTCCAGCGAACGGCAGTCCTGCACCTTATTTTCTACATTAGAGGCAAAGGAGACAGCGTAGGGGTTACACGAAATTCGCTGGTCACAGGTTAGGGAGGTGGGAGAAAGCAAAGTGGGGAAATCTCTGAGATCGGATAAAAAGTGAACTAGACAAATACTTCTTTCACATTGGAGGGTACAGGAAAGTTAACAACGAACATCTACCGCACGTAGATGATATGTGGGAGAACAGGTAACAAGGAGGGGCTCTGTGGTCTCCTGCTCCGGTGGGAGACTGGGACCTGAAGAGTCTAAAAAAAGGGGATTACTCTGACATTCCAAAGGTATGCTGTTATAGATGCAAAAACAGACAGGCTCAGTTAAGGTAAAGACTGACCTTTATGAGGGAAGAGACTGGCCTAGGACATAACTATGCACCATGACTCGCATTTAGTTAGGAAGTTTTAGTTTCAGGCCATCCTGTGTGGTTACTTCAGGTCTCTGGGTTTACAAGGCTGCCACGCGGGCCTCCCTGAGCTTGTCAGGTTTAGGATGTGGCCCCTTTCAGTCCACATCTCCAAGAAGACATAACAAGTCTTAACACATATACATCTAAAAAGAGTATCAAACTACATGGGGCAAAAAGTGATAGAACTGCAGGGAGAAAACCCACTATTGTCGATGGAGACTTTGACACCTGTCTCAGAAATGGACAGACCCAGCAGACGCAAAAGCAGTGAGGACGCAGCAAACTCAACTACACCACCAGTCAACCAGGTTTAACTGACATCTATCGCCCACTTATCCAACAACAGCAGGACGCACATTCTTCTCAAGCTCATGTGGGACATTCACCAAGAGAGACCACCTTCTGAGTCAAGGACACATCTTAACACATTTACAAGAAGGGAAATCCTACAATGTCTGCCCTCGACCACAGTGGAATTAAACTAGAAATCAGTAACAGAAAGATAACTGGAAACTCCCTAAGCACTCGAAGATTAAACAACATACTTCTAAAGAACACGTGTATCAAAGAAGAAATCTTGAGAGAAATTAAAAAATATTTTGAACTAAATAAAAATGAAAATACGACAATCAAAATTTGTGAGATGCAGCAACAGGAGTGCTTAGGAAGAAATTTATAGCATTAAATGCATATATTAGGAAAGAAAAAACACCTAAAATCAATAATCTAAGCTTGCACTTCAGGAAACTTCAAGAGCAAATTATAATTCCTAAGGAAGCAGAAGAAAAGAAATAAAAATCAGAGCACAAAGCAATGAAACTGAAAACAGGAAACAAAGAAAAAACAATGAGACTAATACCTGGTTCTTCTTTGAAAATATCAGTAATGTTGGCAAGCCTCTGGCCAGGCTGAGAAAAAAATTAGAGGAGACAAAAATTACTAATATCAGAAATGAAAGAGGAAACATCATGACAACTCCCACAGACGTGAGCGAGAGTAAGAACACGCTGACCAACTTCACACCCACAGACCACCCTGGATGAAATGGACCAGTTCATTCCTTGAAAGACACCATTTGCCAAAACACACAAGACGACACAGACCATCTGAACTGGCCTGTATCTATTACAGAAACTGAAGAATAATTAAATAAGCTTCCAAAACAGAAGGCACCAAACCCAGACGGGTCCGTTGGTGAACCTACCCAACCTTTAAGGGAGGGATCACGCCCATTCTCTGCCATCCCCTTCCGAGGACAGAGCAGAGAGACTACTTCGTGACCCAGACAGTGAGGCCGGCATCGCCCTGATACCCAAACTAAAGGCATTACAAGAAACCCGCAGACAGGCTCTCCCATAAACAAAGGTGCAAAACTCCTCAACGAAATATCAGCAAATCAAATCCACAATGTTTAAAAAGAATTAAACACCACAATCAAATGACTTATTCCAGGTACACAAGGCTGGTTCAACGTTTGAAAATCAACTCGCGTCATCCATCAACTCAACAGACTGAACGAGTAAAATCACGTTCTATCAACAGACACAGAAAAAGCATTTGACAAATTTTAACACCAATTTATGATTTTAAAAAAACACCTCTTGGGAACTTAGAAATAGAGGAAAACTTCCTCAACTTGATAAAAAAAAATCTACAACAAACCTACAGCTAACATCACACTTGAGAAACACAAGCTTTCACCGGAAGATGCTCCTGCCCCCGGTGGAGGCTCATCCCACCCAGGCTGTCAACCCGGGAGCCCACAGCCCGACCGAGGACAGCTCTGCGGCGCCCCTGGTGGCAGGGCCTGAGCCACAGGCATGCGCCTGGCCTGGCCTGGCCTGGCCTGGTCAAGGACCCGCCCAGGACCCACCAGACACAGCACATCACTCAGGCCCTGCCGCCCGGTGCTGTCCTTGAACTTCCTGGCCGCTCCTGTCTGGAACGTCCTTCACGCACAGCCACCTGCTCACTCCACCTCATCTTCTCTCAGATGGTCCACGTCCCTCTGTCCTCAGCTCTGTGGCTCACCTGCTCGTGTACTGATCGGGCCCCCAGCCTGGGATCGGTGAGCGCTGAGGCCATGTCTACCTGTTTCCCCTGGCTCTGGGCGTGCAGTCGGCACTCAATTGTTGTCAAACAAATAACTGAGTGACCTCGGGTTAGGCTGCCGGGGCCTCTCGGGCTCTCCAGCGCTTCAGATCTGAGCATCAGTCTCTGCCTCACCCGAGTCCCAGCTCGGCCTCACAACGGGACAGTCAGGGACCACCTCCCAGGGCTGCGGGGAGGGTTCCATGGGCAGAGGCGAGTGTAATGGGCTTGGCAGTGACCCCACTTCCCCGATGCAGCGGGGTCTCAGGAAGAAAGGGCACCGTAGTACCATCTGACCCAGGCCACCAGGCGCCTCGTGGAAAAGCGGCAAGACGGGCAGTAACCAGGTGCCCGAGAGAAGCGCCCGAGCACTGAGCGACACACACGCTTTCTGGGACTTCCCTGTAGGTTCTCCCTTCTCTTTCTGGTCACCTGCCCTTTGGCCATGTCACCACAGGTGAAGAAGTGAGAGGAGGTGAAACCCAGCCGGCCTGTTGTTCCCCGAGCTCGGGCTGCATTTCTCAGGCACTTCTGTGCACAGCACCTACAATCTCTAAGCCCTGGGGGTGAGCCCGGGTGGGTGGAGGGGGGTGCTGGTGCTGCCCCTGGCCAGGGCTCGGTTCCAAAGGCCCATCCCCTGGCATTTCCAGGAGAGACAAACCAAACTGCAGAGCAGATGGAGTCACATATTGACTCTAGATGAACCATTAATCTGCACGTGAAGGTGGAACGACAGAGGACAGACGGTAACACAGGAAATGCCTTCGTGTCTGGGGGAGGGTGGGAACAACAGGGAAACAGTGTGAAGGGTGACAAATGGGCCACATAAAAGTCAGCACTATTTGTTCATCAAGATGCCCTTGAGAATGAAGAGACAGTGGTAGAAGATATGAGTGACCTGCCTGACCAAGGACTTGTAGACAGAACACAGATGAAACTCCGACGACCAGACAGACATGAGACAGGGCAACGCCTGAGTCAGACAAGTCCTTCACAAACGAGGATCGCCAAAAGGCCCAAAAATATATGAAAAGATATCGGCCCCAGTGGACATCAGGGAGACACCAGAGAAAACCACAGGAAACACCATCTACCCACCAGGGTGCTGGGAATGAGACAGAGGGTCAACTGCGCCCAGCACCCGGCAGGTCAGGAAGAGCTGGACACTCGTGCTGGTGGCGCACAGCATGGACTTGCAGAAGCACTGCTGACACTCCCCACAAAAGCTGAACAGCATCCCTGCAGCCAGCAGCTCCACCCGTGGAAGTGGAGTGAACACTAGGGGACCACCAAGGAGGCAGCACGCAGAATGTGGGCAACACCCCAGTGGAGGAGCCCATTTGGAGATGCTCTCAGAGGGAAGCCACATGGCTGAGGCTCCCCTGTGCACGAGCTGAGAGACACTGTCACCTATGGGGTCAGGTGTAGGGGCCGTCTGTCGTCTCTGGGTCCAAGTGCGTTTACTTTGTGAGAAGTCACCAAGGTACATGCTTGAGATCTGCACACTCTGCCATTTGCATGCATACACATGGAAAGTGTCTCAATCAACAACTCCCTTAAGTAGGAGGCTTTAACCTGTTATCTGCCTTCTGACGGGCCCTTGAGGTTCCCTTTAGTCACACAAACAAGGATAGGCCTGGCCCCTGTGGCTGGTGACGGCAGGTGCCCTAAGTAGGCTCTTGTCCATGGGCCCAGCTTCAGTGGGAGAAAAGTTGGCTGCCAAACAATGGGGGTCCTATGGAGGAAGGACAGGAACGTCGGGGGCTGAGACAGATGCAGGTGAACCAGAGGGCCTGAGCGAGCCCAGTGTCAGGCATTATGCCCCAGAAAACCAGCGGAGGGGTGTCCATCACCTCACCCTGCCTAGCAGGGGATGGGAAGGAGGGGAGTGGCAGGACCCATCTTGCACCTGTTCCCAGGCTGGCACCACACAGTGCACTGTGAACTGGACCAATGAAGCAATCCAGCTGCTTCCACCCGAGCACTTTCTCAAAACCAAACAAAGCACAGACACTCTGGCATCCGCGTGCCCAGGGTGCCCCCAAGGGGCACAGCAGACAAACTGGAAGGGGAAAGGTCTCCACACTTGGGCAGCAAACCTGAAAGCCCTCTCCCCTCACAGAAACCACACTCATAAGGGAACACAACATAATTTACTGCTCCTTCTGAATACATCTTCTGTCGGCTGCTGCTTGAGACCAGGGAATACCCAGCAGGCCCACCCAGGCTGAGTATCTGCAACTTTCCTTCCCCAAGGAACTTAAGGAACTGAGACTAACTGAAGAAACCTCACATTCCTCACTTGCCCGTCTCAGAAGGCCCGACATGTAGCTGCCCACTACAGAAATCCTCGTGACATTTTAATTAGTACACATTTAGTCCAGATGAGAGAATCTTTAATTGTCAATAACCATGCTTCAAGTTTTCTGATTAGATTTATAAACTTGAAGTTACTTTTCTCTTCCAAACACTAAGTGTTCTAAAGCAAGCCACATCTTTACCTGATCGGCTTCCTGAGAAACCAGACACTGATTCTAACTCTCTGGGTGCATGAGGATCCGGTCGCTACTTCATCCTATGGGCAGGGGGACTACCAGCCACCTCCCCCAGTGCGTGGGCTCTGCTCCCCTCCTCCCCTGGAAGGAAGGTGAGCTGAGCTGAGCACGACACTCTCACACCCATTGCCTGACCCTAAGTGTGTCCTATCAGCAGAACAAGCTCCTGCCATATTCCAAGCTGGGCGGGAAAACAGGCCACCAGCTCCTCCAGAGCCCAGGAGGGTCACTTCCTGGCGAGTTCGAGCACCTTCGTCACCATGGCGCCGATCCCGTCGTGGATGAGGTGGAGCGCAGTCTCACACATGAAGGCTGGGGTGGTGACCACCTTGTTCTTTGGGTCCACGTGCGCTTCGTGCACAGGAGTTAGGGAAAAGCCACCCAGCAAGGACGTGGGGCAGGTGGAGGCGTACGGCATGCTGTGGCCACTATTCCCAGCTGCCCCAGAACAAGGGTTCTGCACCACATGCCCCGTCCCAATGTGACTGGGGTGGGGGGACATTCTTTGGGTGGAATCTGCTGAGAGGGCCCCACCTTCCACACTATCTGTGCGCCGGAACTAAATGAGAATGCGGCCAGCACGTCCCCAGAGGAAGCTCAGCAAACAGTGTCAGCTTCAGGAAGCTGTGCAGCAGTGTGCCCTGCAGGATCCGCATGGGACCCACGGCCCCCGCAGCCCTGTCCGGGTCTGCACACTGCTGGCCCAGGTCCCACAACCCTGGAGGCAGCAGCATCTCCGCTTTTCAGATCGAGAAAACGAAGAGAGCTCATCTGCATGCCAGGGACAGGAGAGCAGGGGCCAATTCCACCTGGGATGCACCTCACCACACGACTCCTGCTCCAGGTCACGCAGACCCTGGAGGTGAAAGAACTGGCCTTGCCCCCACCTGCCCTGGACCTACACTGACCCGGGCTAGCCCTGACCCCATTGACTGCCATGGTCTGCTGGCTGCTCTGCACCAGAGGGGAACATGGACATCTGAAACTGCAGGATGACAGCGCCACCTTCAGCACAAACGTCCGAAGGTTATGTGGTCATCTCTAGGACACTGATGTCCTGTTTCTGATTGCAGTCCATGGGGGGACCCTCCGGGTCCAGGTGCAGACCCAGGACGTAGAACACTGTGCCTGAGGCTCTATGCCACAGTGCTCGGTGCAGCTCCAGCCTGGAGACGTCACCTGCCTGGCCAAAGAGGGGGACCCCACACCACATGCCACCCCCACTGCCAGAAAGGATATGGTCACTTCCTTCACACAGTGCTTGGCGCCCATGGCTTTGATGGCTTCCACGGTCCCGGCATATGGCCACTTGCCACCTTCCTCCTGCTCATGGCCCACAGTGACCTCAACGCCACGGAGCACTTTGGCCGCAAGGACAGGAGCAATGCAGCACAAGCTGAGAGGCAAAGGGAACAGGGTCAGCTCAGGACCGTGCAGGTAGTCACCAGGCAGGGGTGCAGGGGGCACAGCCACGGCAGCTCTGAGGGGAGACGGGCACCATGGATGGAGCTTTCCACACAGCCCCGTCTGGGAGAATGTGGGCAGGAGGTGCTACATGCAGCCCACTCCCAGGCTCAACCCCAGGCTGGCACTGGTGGTGCTGAAGGGCTCTAGGATGGCGACTAGGCAGGCTCCGGTGAGCGACTGGATCCGAGACATGCTGTCAGTGGGGACTATCATCTGCAGCCTCTGTCTCCCACCTGGACGAAGGCGTCTAACATAAGCTGCTCTTTTTCAGTTCGCCAGAGACACAGTGGCCAGCAGCACACACAGGGGCCAGGAGTGGCCTGCAGTTTGCATCCTGCAACTTTGTCCTTACTGTGTGTGCCCTGCTGTGCTCCTGCCAGGCCTTCTCCACAGTGACCGGCTCCAAAGATGAGCAATGCTCGCCCTCTGGCTCACTGATGTGGACGAGCCACTCGCTATGTTAAAGTGGGAGCAGGAGGCAGCCACGGGGACACTCATGGACGTGAAGTCTGACAGAATCCAGTCTTCCAACAGGGTCCCTATCACACATCTCTAAGCCCCTACCGGATGCAGGTATCGCTGGCCTCGCCTGTCTGTCAGGACCAAGGACCATGGACTGTGACATTAGTGATGGCTGTGCCAAAGAGTTTGAGGGTGCAGAGAAGCAAAGGGACCCTGGCGTGTGGCCAGCCTCAGAATCCAGGCTCCATGAGGAAGGGAGAGCAGCCGAGAATGACATGGTGGCAGGAACAGTGCTCACGGCAGCAATGAGAGTGGAAAACGAAGAATAACTAGCTGAGCAAGGACGGGAGGCTGGGGAAGGGGTGCTGGGAAATCTGGAGGTCAGGGAAGGAACTGGGGAACATTCTAGAAGCTGACAATCATCCCCTCCTTCCTGTTAAGCCATAAGGAGAAATTAACACAACCACAAACTAGAGAATTTTAAGAGCTGGAAGTCACCTGTGAAACCCCCTCCGTTAAGAGGAGGAAAGGGGCTGAGTTTTCAAGACCACACAGTTCAGAGTGGCAGCTCCCAGCTGTGAGTTACGAGCCACGGCCCACAGTTTCCAGCCCCTGCCCTCCCACCCCTGCCAGGCCTGCTCCTACAGCCACAACGTACCCAATGGGCTTCCCAGCCTTGTGGAAGTCCTTCAGCACACGCTCCACATCTTTGTTGACTTTGCAGTCCTTCCCGTCCGTGGCAAACGTGCTCCTACAGTGAGAACAAGCTCCTTACATCTCAGAGCTCCAGACTATTGGCCACCCCTGAGGTCTGAGATGTGGCTCCGTTAGCTCCTCAGCCATGGAAATAACAGCGAGTGTGCGCACATACACGTATGTGGCTTCTCATATAATTATATATTTTTCTGTTCTTTTAAATGAGAAAGGAGCACGGAAAGTGCACGGAGGGGGGTCATGTAGCAGAGGTGAGGAGGGAAAGCAGACACCAGAGCAAATGAAGCCACGGGCTCAGACTGCGAGCCGCACCATGTGGTCCTCAGCCAAGGGACAGAAGGACATGCAATTAGCCTAAAACCAGTGACAGGCGGTCCACTTGACTGACAATGAAAAGAAATGCAAATTAAACACTGTCTTTTTCACCAGAGCAAGAGCCATCCAGGGTCTGGAACAGTTTCCCCTCCCAGCTGGTGGGCACACACCTGCCTGTGCCACCTCTATGAAGGCAACTGGTGAGACTCACCAAATTTCAAACTCCACCTTCTTTGCCAAGAGCCACATTCTGGGTGTCCCTGTGCTCTGTCGTGGGTTCTACTCCTCCTTCCTGGACACATGCATGGCGTCAGCGCCAAGGGCTGACCGGTGGTCACTATGCCAATACGCCAAAATGCACCTATTTATACTTTAAATATGTGTATGTCAACTGTATCTCCAAAAAGCTGTTAAGGGGAAAGAGGACTGGATATCACAAGCATTCATCCAAGCTGGGTGTCCCTCCGGTGGAACCGTGTGTGAAGCTGTTAGACAATTAAAGAACTGACAAGCTACACTGTCAAGTGAAAGGCACAAAGTACAGAATAGGGAGCTTAAGAGGCTACTGTCTGGTTAGATTTTTAACACAACCACATGTGAATATCATGGGAAATAAGCACAAAAGCCAGAAACAGTGCCAGGGAGGGAGAAGGGGGCTGGAGGTCCCAAGCAGGAGGAACTGAGACTTCTGTCACCCCTGAACTCGCCTGTGGCCACATGCTGTACCCTAAAGTCCACAGCAGCCACCGTGTAGGAGACCCTGATGCGGGAGCTGGCCTTCCTTCTGGGAAGGTAGGAAAAGATGGGAGGCCAGTGACCAGAAACTGCAGCTCCCCGCAGGATAGGGTGAGCTTACAGATGTGCACGTGGGCCCAGGGCCCCCATGCCCTTCAACACCAAGAGAGATGCACCAAGACCCAGTGCACCTCCTGTCTGAGCTCCTGAGTCAATCAGGTATGGCATCATCCATGCCAGGTACACACCCCAGGGGTGGTGCTGACAGCCGAGGCCAGGGGCTTGTGAAGCCAGTCTCATCCTTCTGAGAAAGGAACCCCAGGCCTGTTGGAAGTGAAAAGCCCCGCTGACGCAGACAGGTCCCTGCCACCTCCTTCCAGGAGGCTCATGACAATGGGGACATAGGAAATCACTTGAAAGGCTGGTTTCGGGGATAGGGAGTGGGTGTGGGGTGGGGCAGGGCTCCCGCCAGGGAAAGCAGCTCTCAAGGGGCTGGGCAAACACAGGCAGACCTGGAGAAAGTGGGTGGTGGGAGCCTCAAGGCGTCAGGACACAGAAGGGCCGTGAGCAGAGTCAGGCAGAGTCAGACTTTAGGGAAAGTAACCACCTCTGCCCATCATTTCCGGGTGCAAGATGCCCAGATGGACAGAGGCAGCGAGGAGGTCACTGTGTCGCTGCAGGGGGAACAGCAATGACCAAGTAGTCAATGGTCCCGAAAGGGTGAAGAGCAGTTGATGAGCAACAAGACTGAAGCCTGAACCCCCTCTGCCCCATCTCCTCCACCCCCAACATCAAGGGGCTGATTCTGAGCACAGGTGATGGACTCACTCTAAAGATCAAGATGTTCCACAGGCCTCTGGGGCAGGCAGCTGGAAATGTGGGTCAGTAGGGGGAGGTGTGTGGTCCAGACAAGGTGCCAGCTAAGGCGTGAATGCAATTTGTGGGGAGAATGGAAAGGAGGTGCAGGAAGGAGGCGGGGACTCCATGAGGAGCAGCTGGGATGCCTGCACCCAGCGGTCAGGCCAGGCCCGACAGCACTCAGAGAACTCGCACGAAAGGGAGCACCTAGGTGAGGAAGGTACTGGACACCTGCGAAAGGGGGTGTGGACCACGCGGCGAGGACCTGAAGGGTGTGGGGCCTGGAAGGGTGGTGGGAGAGCAGCACCCACTCAGTCCAAGAGCGAAGGGAACAGAGGAGAAACAAGAGGAAGTGGTGATTCCTGGAGCGCTGTGCGGGCAGCAGACAAGTGCTGTCAGCAGGGCATGGGGAGCAAGGAGGCTGTGGGGCCCCAGAATGGCCTAGTCAGCGGGAAGGCAAGCCCTGGGGCTGGCTGCCTGCGGTAACAGTCAGGCAGTGTGTTACCGCAGACCCTGGGTCTGGGGCAGGAACGTTCTTATGAGTGACACAGGAAAATGCCAGCACATCTGGGCCAGATGTGTTGATCTGTTGTGTTTCCATCAAACACATGTAGTCAGGGTGTCACACACACTACACCGTGTGCTTACACAGCTGTGACAGATGTGACGTGAACCTCCCCCCACCCCCCGTCGCAGCAGCCCTGTGACCCCACAGGAGGTACTTAGGACAATGAGGCTGGTGCAATTTCCACGAAATGCACAGAAAGACAAGGAATGAGAGAACAGAAAGAGGACCTGAAACCCAAAGGACGTCATAGTGACGGCCTCCCAGGCTCCCATCCAGATGCCCTGGCAAAGACCCAAAGGGCTCCAATCAGGACAGTCAGGTGACTGGAAAAGCAGTTTCCGGGCTCCACAGCCCACAGGGGCTTGGCTGCCTGCAGGAACACACATGCAGACACTGGTTTTGCTGCAAGGAGACCCACCTGCACCGTGGTTATGACAGAGGAAGTCACAACCACAACAGCAGCCAGGTGCCATGAGGGCTCAGAAAGGAGCAGGTAGAGTAAAATTCGAGTCTTGCCAAAATGCAACCTAAGCCCCATCCTATAGTAGTTCCCTGTCACAGCAGCCAGTTGCATCGTTTGGACCCCAAGACCTCAGCAGTGGCTCATGTCACCACCTGGTCCCCATTTACTGCTCCAGGTAAAAAGCACAAGGCCCCAAACTCAAACACTCACAAGTTTTTGGCAGCTCCAAAGCCCCCAGGGAAGATGGCAGCATCATGGTTGGCTGCACTTAGCTGGGCCAGGTCAGTGATCTTGCCACGGGCGATTCTTGCTGACTCAGTCAGAACATTCCTGGGAAAGAGCACAAAGAGAGGCCAAGGAAAGGTTCAGCGTAGATGAGAGAACAGGGTGGGAAGGAGCCCACAGGACAAGAGGCCGTGTTTTCTCAGCCCCAGGGAGTAGCGTTCACACACGAGTTTCACGTCAACATGTAGAAAAAGCAATGGATCTACAGGGACATAAACGACTCCCGGACCCTCAGATCAGCACTTCAAAACCCACCCAAATCATCTGGAGCCTCCTGCATCAGTTAGGGGCCACTAGGAAGACAGACCCCCAAGAGTCTTAAACAGAGAGCATTTTCATGGGTAACCAATGGACATGACAGGGGTGGGAAAGTTAGGAAGCGCCTGTGCTGGGTGAGTGCAGCAACCACAAGTGGGAGCTACTGCCACCCTAGGCCAGGGTCCCAGGCAGAGAAAAAACCCCAGGGTCCTGATTAGGACCACAGCCCCCAGCAGACGGAACTGCTGTTTCTTCCCTTTGTTCATCTCCCACTGTCTGAACCCAGCTGAAAGGTGTCTGGGAACCACAGCCTCCTGGGGCCATTGCCCTGAGGTCCCAGTAGGACAGGAGGGGAGAGGTGGATCTCAGAGCACCCAGGGCCTCAGGAACAGAAATGCTGCTGGGAGCTACTCAAAGACTCGTGGGGCCCAGACAGGTGAGTGAGGGGGCAGCCAAACTGAGGTGCACACCTTTGGTCAGAACAAAGCATGGAGCTCACTCAGCAGGAACATTTCAGTAAGGAATGGAAGGTAAGCACCAGAAGGTAGCGCTCTGGGCCCCCAGCCTTAGTCCAGACCAGCCTGGGGACGAGTGCACTGAAGGCAGGACGTTCATTTGAACAGGTCTGGCCCTGACTGGGATGAAAACAGCTACGCGCGCAGGTTCTCAGGGAGCTTCAACCCGCCCCTGTGCAGTCAAGGAGAGAGGGGTAGGACCCACACCTGGTTTCGCTCTCAGAAGGCTGCCCCTTGGTGTGGTCAATCACATGCATCTGCCGGACGTCAGGAGCGAAGATCTGGACCTCAGCCCCACCACGGCTGAGGTGCACCAGCACCCTGAGAGGGAGGAAACCACACCAGGCTTTGAGACAGGCCCAGCCTCACCTGTCAACATTTTTGAAAACAGGATTTCAGCTAAATGCCAGGTATAAATTCCTTGGGTAGTTAATATCCCACTTGCTTTGCAAAAAGCTGTGGTTGGCTTGCATTTGAATTCACTGTCACTGAACTAGCCTGCACTGACCAGCAAGTCTCCACATTCCCTTGACACACCGGGTGCAGGGAGCAGGGTGACCAGCTGGTGTCACAGTCTGGATATCTGAGTTCCCAGGCTGCTGCGGGGTGTTTTCCTCCCACAGGCCAAATGATGTGGGGAGCTCAAAGGTTTGAGGGGGGTTTTGGGTCATGACAGTAAGTCCAATTCCTGGTGTCCCCCAACCTTGCTGTCACGGAGGTGGGAGACATGGAGACATGCAGGTCTCCCAGAAGGCACGTGATAGCTCACCCATCAGTCCCAGACTGGGTGCTGTCACTGTCGCCCTTTTGGAGGAGATAGAGATGCATGACCCAGAAGAGCCGGGCCTGCCCTGGTACTCCATTGGGCTCTGCAGCTCTCATCACCTCCTCCCCACTCCACATAGGTCTTGTCGTTGCTAGGATGCCTCAAGCTGTTCCCCGCGACTGCTGGCTTCCTCCACTCTGGTTTCCCCACCCCGGCCCCCATCAGGAAGCTCTGCGGGCCTCTGCCCCCCACCAGCTCCACACAAACTAAAGCTCACTCCTCCTCTGGCGCCAGCGCCAGCACCAGCACACACGGGCAGCTCCTGGGTGACAGGGCTCCGGCCACCACAGCCCACGGCTCCTCTGGAGAGGGCAGGGGGGTCCCCCAGCCTCCACCTGGAACCTACGGGGCGCTGCTCACGGCCACAGCTGACAGCCCATGCGGAAGGAAAAGCTCTGAAACCCCAAACCCGAACCCAGGCACTGGTCCCAATGTGTGTAGCACGTGTTCCGGTCGCCAGAGGAGAGGAGCAAGGGCTCGCCCTGGTGACAGCGCGGCAGGGGTACTAAGGAAGTTTACTCCGCGTCTCCTTGGGTTTCAGGTGTCATTTTAACTTTTCCTCCGCTGCCTCCCCGCGTCTCGTCGGTCCCTTTCGCTTCCTAATGGGAGAAAGGCTTCTCCAAACGGCTGCGGGGATGGCCACCCCCTTCCCCAGGGCGGCCGCCCGAGGGGCTTACGCGGAGGCCTCGTGCAGCTCGGTCCCGTCGTAGACTCCGCACCCCGACAGCACCTGCGGGAGGAGTTCGGGTCACCTGGAGCCCACGCGGCGTGGGGCCCGGCCTCCGGCGGAGGGGGGA